GATAGCAAATATCTTGATGACCTCTGTGGTTCATATACGTCGCATAAATGAGAATGGAATTAAGAAGATGTGCAGGAACATCTTCAGTATTCAGCAGCAGTTGACCAACATTACCATGACTAGAGAACTTGCTCTTGACCAAGCACGTCAGTACTATGAGATGCTCTACCACACTCCAGAGGTAAGTTAGGTTACAAAAGAGTAAATAATCCAAAATCACAAAAAATATGTGCATCTTAATTATGAAAACAGTTGAGATATATTTTTTCATATTTCTTCATTGCTAATACATCTTTTGGTGAGCAGGAGATTCTGAATGCCATCATGAACCGTGGGAAGCAGTTCGCAGAGCTGGAATACATCAATGCCTTACAACTCCTTCATCGATCCTCTCCTGGAACGTCACAAGAAGTCCTTCATTCTCACCTTCAGCGACTCTCAGAAATTTTGGGGGACATTGGTGTCACAGTCTAGAATCTTTTGAATGCGAAAAATAATTCTTATATCATGATATATATTATTATATGTGTGTATATATACATAATGTATTTATATACATGGCATTGAAGAAAAGATATTGAGCTTTATTGGTTTTATATTTATTGTTAACAAAGTAATGACAAAAACATTACTTAAATTGTTGCTGTAGATGGCATGGATAAGGTAAAATAAAACACACTGTGATACTTGTCATTATTGACCATTATTACCCTCTAAAATGTCATTGAACATGCAGAGTAGAGTGTTACTGTAAATTATGGTTTGAATGCGTGGATGAAGGAAATGTTACATATTTTTATTAGGTAGAATGATTCCTTACAGAGTGTGAGAAGAATATTTTTCAAAAATTGCTGTTTCAAAAGTCAAATAAAAAAATTATTCTAAATTCCCAGCTAGAAATACATGTACCTGCCAATTGGTACTTTTTTCCTGGACAAAGATAAAAACTGTGCCTTTGAACTTCACTTTTAATGAAGTAGATATCTTGATTTAGGAATCGGTAATGTTTGTGATGCTTTATTTATAAATATTTTGTAATTACTACTCTGAAAACTACTCTGAAGTACAAATCCAAAATATGTAAAATGACATTTGGTCTGCTAACAAAATCTCTATTATTCTTCTAAAAAATAAGTTTGATTTTATATCAGTAGCAGATCCAAAGAGGATTCACAGGATGCTTTTGAAACCTAATTTCTCTTAAATGTGTAGTATATTGAATCTGATGCAGTGAATTAAACAGCTTAACCTGGTAGGTATGTGCCCAGTTCTTTGTAATGTTAGCTATTAATTTTGTTTACAAAGATAGTTCTGAAAGTCCTTGGTTACGAAGGAGTCAGTTACTGTTTATGCTGTTGCATGAATGTTTGGAAAGAAAAGTTTTCCTTTATCATTGTTATTAATGTTATACCAATAATTATGCCAATAATAGTTTTAGAAATTGTTAATGAGAGTAATATCAAAAATACATTTATCACTGCCCCCCCCAAAACAAAAACAAAAAGGAATCAGGTGAATATGTGATGTCAGGTAGATGTATGTAAAATCCTATGATTATAAACAAAATAGACAAGAAGAAAGTACTGCTGACAAAGAGAGAGAAAGATGGCAGACAGATGTAAACACACACAGTCTAGCTGGAGAACCACTCTATCCTCAGCACCATAGGAGATGGGGTCTCCTGGGGGTCTCACACCTAACTTCTTTAATAAACCCACAAGCCTAGACCCCTTTTACTCACCTGCACAAAGACCACTTCCGCCTTTTCAACATTTCAATCAATCAATCAAGGAGGCTAACGCTGACGGGGGCGCATAGCCGCATCCACCCTTCACTTCCAACCACGAGGATCCCTCGTGGCAAGACGCCAGGCAGGGACTTGGCCCATCTCAAGTTCTTCCCGACAGGTTTGGTCGTTCTGCCCAAGCCACGACTTCCTAGGATGTTCCACAGGCCTCCTCCACCTAGGGTTGTCTCTGACAGAGACAACCTGATGGGCAGGATCATCCTGAGGAAAGCGAGCCAGGTGGCAAAGACCTATTACAAAAGGCTTCAAGATGAGCCTCCAAGGCACTGGATAATGTCCAGGTTTCACTACCGTACAGCAAAACTGGCATTATCAGGGCCTTGAAAACCTGTAGCTTGGTCCTTCTGCACAGGTGCCGACATCTCCAAATACTCTTGTCGAGAGACTTCATAACCCCTGCTGCCAGGCCAATCCGTCTGCTGACTTCTTAGTCTGACAGCCCAGAGTTATGAACTACACTACCAAGGTATGTAAAGCTCTCTGTGACTTCAGTGTCCTCGCTGCAAGCACGTACCGACTGAACAGGTTCTCCTAATAAGTCCCCAAAATCCTGGACCTTGGTCTTGGTCCAGGAAATCTCTAGACCCAAGGGTTTCGCTTCATTGCTAAATGCATCCAGAGCCACCACTAAGGTTTCCAAAGACTCAGATAGAATAGCATCATCAGCAAAGGCAAGGTTTTCAACATTTGGTT